TTCAGGACATGTTGACGAGGTCATTTGAATCAGCTGTGATTGATCAAGGACACGTCTAAACCTGCAGGACACGGCCCTCGAGGCCTGGAGGTAGACACCCCTGGAACAACCTCTAACTGAGCTCTCAAAGTACTTTACAATACCCGTCCTTTTATTCTAACCCTCCCACACACTCACAGTGCCATGAATGCATCAGTGATAACTCAGGATCTTGGCCAAAGCCTATGAGTTTGCTTCCATGAGAGCATGTCTAACTGGCTGGCTCTGGCTCTTCCCACAGAAAATCACATCGTAATTATATGATGAAAATATGCTTTTGTCAGCGCTGGAAACAGTCTCATGGATGCCTCTTAATTCATGATGGTTGGCTAAACTGGAGGCATTTCAGCAAGGCTGAGCCAGCTCAGCTCAGCTCAAGGTCGTTACCTTCCAACGTCACACTGATCGTGTAAAACAGGCCTTTGGTTTAAAATATGCTGAACACAGCAACACAGCACACTGTGCTCCACAGCAGAGTGGGCTTTATCACGTTATCTGTAACACACCCCAATCAAACAAAGCCTAAAGACAGAGGCTGTAATGTGCATGTAATTATAAATGTCTTGATGCATGCTCCGTCATCAGGTCAGTAAAATGCAACATGGCTGTGCAGACGACACGCTCTGCAACGTGGCTGTGCAGCGAGGTGTACCTGCTGAAGCATCCTGTGGATGTAGATCTGTATTGGAAACACATTTCAGTCTCAATGCCTTTGAGCTGTGATCCACTCCTGGAGGTAGATGATGACTCCTCACGTCACAGGTCATCATCATCTCCTCCACTTGTTTTATTTTGACTGGTTTCTTGGAAAGGATGCTGATGAAGCTCCCAGCATGGAGCCACATGTTGTGATCAGTGTCATACTGAAGGATCAATAATGGGATTATTACTGTATTTATTTGCTTTCTGTACTTTCCTCTTTGTGTTAAATCTCCTGGTTAGCCTCCACCAACTCCAGCTGTTACTGAACCTGCATCATTAAACAGTAAAATAACATCCTGACATTCACCTCATGTCCTAATTCTCTTTCTGTGTGAATGTTCTGCACATCAGTGATCCTGTGACGTTAAACTGCAGTCAGTCAGCCTGATGGTGAAAAGCCTCCTTTGTCTCGCAGCTTCTAATGGCTCCTACTGGCAGTCAGAGCTAAATTGAACGTCTCGCCAAAGCAGATGTTGGATAGAGGCCGGTGTGTGTGTGTGTGTGTGTGTGTGTGTGTGTGTGTGTGTGAGAGAGAGAGAGAGAGAAGATGAAAAGATTAAACGGTGAAGGAGCACAAATGAGGTGTTGAGCATGTCAGTCTGCATCCATACAGCGATTTAGCAGCAGTTACGGTTCCTCCAGATGTTTGCAGCTGCAGCTTAGGTAGGTGTTAGATTTCACAGCGAGCCTCTGCACATCTAAAAGTGTGCCTGGCCTGTGTGAATAATCTGGATTAATCAGTACATTTCATCATGTTACG